GATTCGGAGAAAATAGAGCCACACACAACTTACAAAATTATGTGGAATGGAATTACAGAACTCTAATTAAGAACGAGACCTAGGGGTGGTTTTGGATAGTAAGCTGTCGCCAGAAGAACACATAAAAAAACAATGTGAGAGGAGCGTATGCGTCGCTTTCCAACTTCAGACTTGCTTTTAATTATATGGATGGTGAAATACTAAATAAACTGTTCACACACACACACACACACACACATATATATATATATAAAACACGCTGCATCAAGGGGATGCAAACCTCCCCTGGAGACTATTTTAGGAAATAAGAACGTCTGAAATCACATATAATAATATCCACTGTCACCACCATGTTTGCCGCACTACCACGTAGCACTATACCAGCACCACAACCAACAACACCACAACCACCACCCTAGCCTGCGGGCTTCCAGCTGGAGGGAAGAGAGAGGGGAACGGTTGTAGCAAGGGGTGAGGAAGGTGGGGTTTGGGGGGATGGGGGGGGACAAGGGACGTTCCTGGGTGTGGCTCTCATCTCCCCCTTATCTCTCTTCCCCCTCTCCCCCCTCCTACGCCTTCGTTCTCATATCATATTGCGACGTAAATAATAACTCTTATCCTCGCCTTATAGCATCAGCCTCGACCCTCCTCTCTACTCCATTCTCAGGACAGTCACATGACATTATAGTCGCCCCCTGCTCCTGTCTCTTGCATCTTCCTATACTCCTTTATAGCATTACAGTCCATAATGGTGATGATAGAGTATGGTGAGGTATATTGTATATAAATACAAATCAATCAATTAAGAAATACACTCGAGGAACAATTAAGAAAGTTCGAAGGAGGACGATATCCCTTCTCACATCACCTTGAAGAGTGGGTATAGAGTCTGGCTGAAATTATCTCATTCATATCAAAATTACACACACTAGTTGTAGCGTCCTTCAGAGTAATCAACTCTGATGAGATCAACCTTGCAAGCTCCACCACTCGTTTTGGTCTTTGCTCTGATGGTTCGTTAAAAATAAAATTATGCTTAGCATCTAGTATTTCTTGATGTGATAGGTAAGTAGTTATATATGGAAAAAAATGCTGACCTATATAAGATTGTATCTTGATAAGACGGAATATTATCTTATCAATAACGGCTTCAAGTTATACCAATATAACTTGTAGTTGATGGATCCTCTGCTGTGTATAGGTAATATGTTCTTGCGAACTGTTGTTGATAGACTCTACTTTGGGGTTCAGTTTACAATCTTAGCTTCACTTCCTTGCAGAGAATGTCAAGCTAGTGAGGATAAGGCTATGTGGCCAAATTGGATATTGTAGCCTCTTAGACGTCTTGACTCTAGAGAGGATGGAACACTCTTAGTCTATCTCCTATCCTTTGGCAAGAAGGGCTTCTCAAATCCCACTCAACTCAACACTATATTTGAAACCCCCCTTCGACAAGCCGCCGGCTTCCCGTCCTCGTCCAGGCCACTAGTGTTAGTGGCCCCTCAGGTAAATTCAGGTAAAACTTTCCAAGGGCAGTCGAACCAACAACTCAGTCCCTCCCTCCACATACGAACTGTGGTCTTCTAAGTGAAAGAACTTCCTCCCCCAGGTGTGGGGGAGGTGGGTGGGTGGGGGGGAAAGAATAAGGAAAAATCCCCAGTGTCTGGGAGACTTCCTCCGCTTGCAACACAGTTCATAACTTAATGTTATGGTTAGGCTGCCATAGTTCGCAACTGGACACTTAGTGCAATAAACCCATCATTTCAGGATTAACTAATAAATCTTCCAGCCATTGTTCTCAAGATTAATCTCTCATTTTATATCATTATCTTATAAACTCATTTATTTATTTATTTATTTTATTTATTTATTTATTTATTTATATACAAGAAGGTACATTGGGGGGTTAACAGAGAACATAGAAATTAAGTTGATTTTACATTTTTGTACAGCCACTAGCACGCATAGCGTTTCGGGCAAGTCCTTAGACTAACATAATTTTTAGATAATTCACAGTAAAATTGACAAACAATGTTTACAGATACTTTACAGCTTTACTTTACAGGTACAGATAATTTTAAGTAGAATAATTACAGTGAAATTGAAAAAACAAATTACAGGTACATTGCAATAAATTTTGACACAGAAGCAAATTAGAATAATACACAATAATAACAATACACAATAATTAACAAGGATTAATTAGGATAATTATAATAATAATTAACAAGAATTAATTAGGCACATTAGGATAACATTTCAGGGTTATACATTGGTTCACTGAAGCATAAAATGAGGATCATTTCAAGGTTTATTAATGCAGTAGAAAATACACTCAATACAACAACCATGATATCAGATGATATCTGAGATTACAATGATAAAGTAATATGGTTTAGATACAAATATTGAGGGATTGGGTAGCACTAGATACAGTGTGAGATAAAGCACTAAGTAGAAAACTATGAAGATGAAATTAGGTACTTTTTGGTTTTATTTGTGAATAAGGCAAAAGTTGGACAGCTTTTCAGTTCATTAGGGAGTGAGTTCCATAGACTCATATTTGCTTTTTATTTATTTATTTATTTATTTATTTATTTATTCATTTATTTATATACAAGAAGGTACATTGGGATTGTGAGGATACATAGCATAGTAATTACATTCTTGTAAAGCCACTAGTACGCGCAGCGTTTCGAGCAGGTAAAGCTTTTATTCTGCACAAGTCAGTTGCAAATGATGTATAGATAGATAGAGATAGATATAGATATATATATACATATATAAATATCCACAACAAATCTAGCTGTCGTGGTCAGTTCCGCTGTGTTAGTTGCAACACTGACTGCCTCACGCGCTGGGTGGGTACAGAGTGTTGCCATACTGAGCCGATACTATACCACTTTAAATACGTAGAGTTGTCTTTCTAATGAGCAAATCTTTGATCAGTATGTTCTTAATAAAGTATACACTACAGCACGATGTTCTTACTCTTTCTAAAAAACAATCGAGACATCTGGAATTTTCAAGCGTAATATTATGAATTGTCGCGCAGGTCTTCCCGGCAACTAGACCTGTCAGCGTGTACAATGCGGGGATGAACGCGGCTAAATTTAGCACCTTGGGCTAAGATGTCAGTTTTATGTCAACTAAGGAAAGTGTGTGTCCCTTTAAACTGACAACTGAAATATTAATTAGGTTAAAGGTAAAGTTTACACACAGCGTCTCAGAGAGGTGAACCTGTCTGTGTGTGTGTATATAGATTTAACATTACAGGGATTGACTGGCAGTATTGGGCGACTGGAAATATTAGGTGACTGGGAGGGGGAAAATGAGCGACAGGTTGCAGGTGTGTGCATGCTATTGCAAAGGGGGGAGGAAGGGGGTGGGGGTGTTGGAGTTGCATGGGGGAGGGGAAGAGGGGGATTGGTGGGGGTGATGGGAAGGGGGGCGGGTTTGTGGCTTGGGGTGTGGTGGAGGAGAAAGGGGTGGGGGTGGCGTGGGGTGAGGGAGGGTGCATGCAACCTTTGTTTATACAGCAGAGGATCATCAATGCAGCTCATGGGAAATTTAGAGGGCGTTTCTGTCAGCCTGTTACTGCTAACTAGGCTGTACCTGTGAGGGGACACACACACACACACACACACACACACACACACACACACACACACACACACACACACACACACACACACACACACACACACACACACGACGATCTGTTTGTAAATCTGAGGCATAGGAGGAGGAGGAGGAGATTTTACTCGTAAGATTGATGCTGGAGGTGGTGGTCTGGGTGTAAGATTGATGTTGGAGGTGGTGATCTAGGTGTAAGATTGATGTTGGAGGTGGTGATCTAGGTGTAAGATTGATGCTGGAGGTGGTGGTCTGGACGTAAGATTGATGCTGAAGGTGGGAGGTAGTCTAAGATTGACGTTAAGAGTGGTGGTAGTGATGGTTGACCAATTGTGAAGAAAGTGACATGACTCATGACTGACGGTGGCAAGGTTAGTCACGATTGCAGTTGATGAGATGAGAGTGAAGGTTGATGATGATGATGATAGGTGGCTGGAGTGGATGACTGTGTACCTGGCTGATGGTGATGCTGTTGGTGTACAGAATGCTGAAGGGGAAACAAAGATGGTGATGTGGTATTGGTATAATCCTAAATAATAGCCTAGCCAGCTAGGAACCATCACAGAGCCTTGCGACACAGCCTAATAGGCAGAAATATAATTATGTAGCCTTATAATGCTCAATCTATAAACATTGTTTAATCATTCTCCTTTTTTAATAATATTATTTTTAATGATAAAAAATTATTCACTCGGAATCACTTGGCCTTTGTGAATTAAGTGGTTCATGGGTTTATAACCCTATGGATGAAAAAAAAAATTCTGTGCTACATTATGGTTTGTTGAGCTTATAGATCATACATTGTAATTAAGTTGTTTAGGCATGTTGTTTAAATAATTTTAACCAATAGACAGTTATAGATTAATAATGCACAGTATTTTTAATTAAGGTTAGCTGAAGGTTGTGTGGAAGACCCTAATTAGGTAATTTATTTCTATATAACAATATTAACGGAACACTGATGACCCATAACCTCATGAGCCCAAGTCAAAAAGGTCTTCCTTTAATACAATACAATACAATACAATACAATTTTATTTAGGTAAGGTACATACATACAATAAATATTTACAAGGATTGTTTAACTTATAGGTATAGCTAGTACATACAATGCCTAAAGCCACTATTACGCAAAGCGTTTCGGGCATGAGTTATTATCATAGTTATTTAAGTTATTATCACTTATCAGTCCCTACTATTGATATAATCTGCAATTAATCTCCAATACAATGTTACCTTTTCCGGTGATTGGTTCCATTGTTACTAAAAGTCATACTGTACTTGTATTTTGTTACGCGATTGTTTTTGAAATAAACGTTTGATAACTTGCCCTTAATGTATGTAATATATATATATTGTTTCAGGTGCGTGAGAAGCGTCGTCAACTGTTGGATCAGAGGAGTCAAGGTAACTGCTTGTTTAACGACTAGTTCTGGGGGAACAAGACAGGCGTACACAACTTCAGACTCTTGTTAGCCGGCTGAGAGCTTTTCCTTCCCATAGATTTATTTATAGAAGCGCTAGCAATAACTCGGCTGATGTTGCTCTTCGGCAATATCGTCATGTATTTAGGCCCCATTTAGATTATGCAGTTCAGTCTTGGTCATGCTATAGAATGGACAAATTTACTAGAACGCGTAAAGCATAGAATAAAGTTATACCGCGCAAATTAGAAAGCTTCCACATGAAGAGAGATTGAAAAGGCTTAATTTACATTCTCTAGAGAGGTGAAGAGTTCGGCTTGCCATAACAAAGTGTACAAGTAGATGAATATTGTGACCAAGCAGTCATAGTAAGAGGAGAGCTATGATAATGGAAGTAATGAGTGGAGTACCTGAAGGAACAGTACTAGGGCCCATCCTGTTCTTAATATACACGAAAGATAAGAGATGAGGTAAGCTCATGCTTATCAATGTTTGCTAATAAGAATAAAAATTGAGGATTGCAGTACACAGAGATGAACTAGACACTCAAAAGACTGTGCGAAATAGTTACTTTAACCTTGAGAAGGTAAGGTTATGAGGATGTGACTTTGAGCAAGACAGCCTTAAATACAGTACAGGAAGAAGGGAATGCAAAATCTCACTTCTGAAAATAAAAAGGCTTAGACTAGAACAGAACTAGAGATGTAACACCCACACATCAGCAGAATAACGACGGAAACATATGACAAACGCCCTGTTAGCCTTCAGGAACTTGGGACAAAGATTCTGAGCATTGTATACACTGTTGTGCGATCCATTCTTGAGTATGTTGTTCTAGCCTGGAACCCCCGACCCAAGGAAAACAAGAATGATAATGTAACAAGGATCGTTCGTGAGCTAAGAGGATTGGACTTCATGACACTAGAAGAAAAAAGGAATATGACAGACATGATAATGATGTACACGATACTGAGCGGGATAGACAAAGTGGCTATAGAAAAAAAATTGAAATTAAGGAAGAGTAGAATGAGAGGACAATTGAAAACACATGCGTCAGAAAGACCCTTTTCAGTTCAAGAATTGTAAATGAGCAGAATGGACTAGATATCGAAACCAATGCAATACACAATTTGAAAATTGAATGAGAGTTAGCGCATTGAACTGGTGATGGTCGACCCTGCAAGCACCGTTATCTCCACCCTGCAAGGTCCCCCTGCTGATCTTAACCCTGGTATTAGGTGAAACTGAGACAAACATAGATATGATAAAATAAAATGTACAACCCATATAGCGTAGTCTACAATTACACAAGAGTCGAAGTCTTTGTCAGATATCAGATACAGATTAATATGAGGGTGACGAGGCAGGCAAGTACCTACCCCGGAGAAGCCGCAATGGGAGAAGGAAATGAAGGAGAAAAGGTCAAGGTTGTCGTCGTATCCTGGAATTGTGCAGGTGACACTGAGCACATCATCCCATCCCTGTTAGCGTGTTCGTTAACAAGTACATGGAATAGACGCGGTAAAAGTACAGAGCCCTGGAGGAATCAGACGCAGAAAACAAGTGGACACACTTATTATCGAACAAGTTGCGTTGCAGGAAATTTAACACTTTATACCGGAAACTTTCCAGATCTATAAACAAAATTTTTTAATAAAAGGGGGGGGGGGTTGTGGCGGGACTAAAAGCAGCACTGACGGTTATTCATTGTAAAGCGATTTGACAAAGTGGTACACCTCTTATGTAATGGACATGGATTTAGAAGCAGGACAAAGCAGGCCGACACCTGATATTGCTACAAGATTACTAAAGTAAGGCAGGGAAAATGCTATGTGGGTTGACTTGGTAAAAATAGTGTTACGCTGGATTTGATAACGGCTATAGGGCCTAGACACTGAACGGGTTAATAATCATGTCCTTAAGGGTGGGTTGTCACAGACGAGGTAAAATTGGACCGCGTTCGAGGGGGGTACCTGTAGGCAAGGGTGGTGCTGCTGTTAGTAAAGATTATAATGGTACCAAGTGTGGTTTGGTACTTTACGGTATTGTTTTAAACCCTAGCATTCAAAGGTTATAAACATTGTTTTAAAAAAACGCCACTTGTGCTAACTTTTCAGGTCCGAATGTTGTCGCAATAACACGGTTCGGTTCAGCAGGGGAGGAATACGGAAATATCTTTAGCAATATGCGGGAATGTGCTGTATTTTGTTGTTGTTGATACAGCAACCCGTCCTCGACTCAAGTCTATTACGTCCAGCGGTCGACCCCACAGACGCATCAACTTTTACAGGCTGTTCAGTCAAAACGGGAATGTTCTCAATGTAAATATATTAGCATATATAGGCATAGGTGTTTAGGTTCTGTTGGCGATTATGTGTAGTACGTGGGTGAAGCATTTATAGCGTTGTGGTTCGAACAAAATTAGTCAGTGAAGCACTTGTTCCGGAAGTGTTCGAACGAAATCAGTCTAGTCGCGTGTACACCGTTTTTCTCATTCATAAACATGGGGTTTGGTGGGTGCATGGAATCACTTTGGAGGGTCTTTGTTTGGAGTATGGTCTGCATACGGTGAAGTGAATTTGGAGTTCACTTGATGTCTCAGTGCCAGGCTTTGTATTTACGGGTTGGGGTTCACATGTGTGTCATTCAAGTATGTTTGAGATAAGCAATAAATACATCTCAAAGGGATAGAGTAGCTTAGGCTATTTCTACCTCCCCTCTACTTCAAGTCCCTCAAGGGGCGCACAAATGCTGTGAGTACAAATAGGCAAATTTTATTACAAGAATCCCATTTAACATTGCAGGTTAATATAGTAAGTAGAGCATATAATTGTTACACTCTTGGGGCAAAATTCTTTTAGCTCCCGAGTATACTGTCTATCATACCATTATCACACATCCAAACAATTTGATGTGGTACACTATTTCCTTATTTCTATAGTTTTCAATAAGTTGACACTAATACATAATGTTCTAAGGTGTGGGCGTGCGGCATACTAAATATACACTCATCTTTTTCACTGACATCAACACCGTCTTGCCAGATATATTTGTATCCTAATCTTAATCTCATGCAAATTGAATCCTTCCAATGTGTGTCATGTTGGGGGTAATCCTCGTGGAAGGCAGGAACCAGGATGTTAGGGTTCAGTATGGCAGTGGTACCAGCGTCGGTGCTTACTGCTTCATATACGTCACATGCAGTTGAAGGCGGCTCTGTACCGTGTATATTTCGAAATCTGGCGCGACGTTGTGTGGATACATGGATTATGTTCACTGTAGCTTTAGAATATATCTAGATATCTGGTGGTTGGTTGAAGGTAGTCTTGTTGCAATTATAGATGGTGGTATTGCACAAGCTAGCGGCAACGTGCCTCATTTTCTTGATGTCTATGTGGGTATTCAGATAATTTCGGTGTGCCGTCGCAGATAAGACGGCGTTTGTGGGTATAGTGAAAGTAGTAGTGTAGCCTAGTGAAATAATCGTCCCTGAACCACATCCAGCTGGATGTATCAAGTATGCGCTTCGCCGCCGCCGCCTTCCTGATGTCGCTTGTTGATTATCGGTACTAGGATGTGTGGTCACTGCATCATGCCATTTTGGTACTGTGATAGGCGATCGGTCAGCCAAGTAGCGCCGTGATGGGTGGTTTGGTGGCTGCCATGCCCGTGTGGTGTGCTGGGAAGAACAGGCAACATTATTAGTATTCAAAAATTAACAGCTTTGATGCTGATCTTACACAAATTATATATTAGACCTGTCAATGTTTTATGCCAATCGATTCTATAATGTTACCGTTTATCAGCCATGGGTTTAAGTAATATAAAATAGTTATACCGAATTCGGGTTCCTTGCCTGAAACGCAATGCGTACTAGTGGCTTTGAGGTATTGTATGTACTACCTCTATCTTTAAATCTAACAGTTTGTACTGTAATGCTGCAACTAATGTTTTTAAATAAATTATTTGTTATTATAATTACGAACCTGTTTAGCAGGCGGGCCATTTGCCCTGTTGTACACACATTTAAACAAAAAGTTTGTAAATTTAAAATCCTCATTTTATATAATAGTTTTCCACTTTAACAAAAATCAAAATAAAAGTGACAACTGTTACGTAATTTAGACTACGTTTGTTTAGATAAAAAGGGTGGCCGTACACTGATAGGTCATATATATGCCTTTTGCTTCAGTGCTTATCTATCCTGTTTTCATATTAATTTATTAACTAGGTCTTACGTCTCCAATTACCTACATTAAACTGTCTTCTACAATCATGGTTTGTTAAGGGCAAAATATATATACCTATTCTGAAACTATCATTTTTATACTAGCAACAAAATGTTAAGGGTCCCGTAGTGCAGTCAAGTTCGTGCTACTCTCCCTGTCTATAATTTCGGGTTCGAGTTCTGGGCGGGACAGATGTGGTTGCCTGCGTTTCACCATCACCTAATTGGCCTGTTCCCAAGCACTACATTGGCGCCCAGTACTTATAGTCTGCGTTTTGTGGGATTCCCTAGGGGGACCTCCATATCAAAAATACCCGCAAATCCCTCCCCATTTGTCCTGTTTTCAGATAATATCTATTTAGCTTATTAAAACCTTTTTTCGGTTGCTGTAGTACAGTCGAGTTCGTATCCCAGCCAGAACATAAGTAGTTGGCTGTGTTTCCTATCACATAATTGTCCTGTTCATGTAGCAGGAATTAGTCAGCTTGTTGGAAGGCAGGCTGGCCGCTGACAGTCATTTGTCCTAACTAGCGAAGACAACATTGAAAACATACTGACCAGCACTCAGGGAGCTCCAAGTGTATGTGTGGTGCTTGGACAGCGTCCAGGAGAGGTCTGCAAGTGACGGCAGAGGCGCACTGCCTTGTTGGCTCTCCACGGTCAGGGACAAGGGGTAACGAGCCCCAAATTCATGATGCAGTTTCGCAAGTACTTACGAACGTGTACACTTTTCCTCAATCTTTGACGGCTTTGGTTACATTTACTAAATAGTTTACAAGCATGAAAACTTGTCAATCAACTGTTGCTATTGTTATAAACAGCCTCCTGGTGCTTCGGAGCTCATTAACTGTTTAATAATTGTAAACAAAGTCGCAAAGTATTGAGAAAAGATGTATAGGTTCGTAAGTGCTGGCGTAACTGCTTCGTGAATCATGGCTCCAGGGCCTCGTTATGGAGGAGGGGGCATTTGACTTGAGCTTATAATTACATTTGCCTGTATTGTCGTAATAATTATTACAAGTGTATTGTAGTACTTGTAAATAAATTTAATTTATTTAGAAAGGTGTGAAGTTTTGTCTGCATAATTTTAAAGTTATTAGCGTTGTTTTAAAATAATATACATTCGTGGGTGTTGTATATCGAGGTTATCTTGAGGTTATCTTGAGATGATTTCGGGGCTTTTTAGTGTCCCCGCGGCCCGGTCCTCGACCAGGCCTCCATCCCCAGGAAGCAGCCCGTGACAGCTGACTAACACCCAGGTACCTATTTTACTGCTAGGTAACGGGCATAGGGTGAAAGAAACTCTGCCCAATGTTTCTCGCAGGCGCCTGGGATCGAACCCAGGACCACAGGATCACAGGTCCAGCGTGCTGTTCACTCGGCCGACCGGCTCCGGTTGTGCACAATCTTTCCCGGGTTAAATATCATTGCCCAACTGGTGTGTTCTCATACAAACGTATAAAATATGGGTTGTGGAAGCTTGCGTATTTTGTAATTAAGACATGTAATTGATTATGTTCATGTATTATGTACCTTGTATACCCATCCTGTGGGCAATACTGGAAAAACGTCGGAAGCACATAATAAGCCTCAGGAATTGAGCCCTAAAATTCATTTTTTTTGTTTTTGTTTTGTCCTAGGGAGGGAGCCGGTCGGCCGAGCGGACAGCACGCTGGACTTATGATCCTGTGGTCCTGGGTTCGGTCCCAGGCGCCGGCGAGAAACATTGGGCAAAGTTTCTTTCACCCTATGCCCCTGTTACCTAGCAGTAAAATAGGTACCTGGGTGTTAGTCAGCTGTCACGGGCTGCTTCCTGGGGGTGGAGGCCTGGTCGAGGACCGGGCCGCGGGGACACTAAAAAGCCCCGAAATCATCTCAAGATAACCTACCTGATTTACCTGAGGGACACTAACCCTAGTAGACTTGATGAGGACAGGAAGCCGGGGGCTTGTCAAACCTTACCCCCCACTTTCCCCCTATTTGCCTTTATATTTACCTATACATATACAGGAGGCTGATATGCCAGCAAACTCTCTCTAGGCAACAACATATCTTGGAAAAGTCGCTCCGCAGTATTGTTGCTTGGACTGTCGACTTCCTATGGCGTCACCTGCCACATATTATTTTAACTTACTTCTTTGTGAAATGAGATTATTTCAGTGTCAAAATATGTTTGATCATGTTCTGCACTCAGCACTAACATTGTAGTGGATAAATATACAATATTTCTTCATTACTTACGGTAATGCCAGGAGGCTTTCGGTAATTCTACGTACGAACCCCGCTAAGCTACTGCGTAAATTGCATCATATATGTGACTGCATGATATAATATGCACAGGAAATACATATACTGATCGACAGAAAACATTCTCATATTTTACTGTTGTATCATCATGCAACAATGAAAGTCCATACTATGATTCATTACAGTAGTAACCTGCTAGAAGCGTAACCTCTTTATGAGAGTTCAAGGTCATATAACGAGTATAGAAATGTTACTTGCATTTGTTTATTGTCGTACTTAAGGAAATGTATATATATATATATGGTACAGTATATATTTTTTATAACATTGTGCTGCCTCTTTGTTAGACCACACTGAGCTCGTACACATCTACATACAAAGCCAGTTCTTACGTAACAAGTGCATTGCGTCGGTTTTGACAAAGAGCACATTTGGCATCTACGCTTTAAAGGTCCCAAAAGAGAATGGTGACCGATGCAGCGGCAACGTCGCTTTCAGCTGCCAGAGCACCAATAGAAACGCGCATGTGCGCACCGCCTTGCCAATGAGAAGTAGCGTTGCTTGTGACGTCACACCTGTAAACACGGAACAGCTGATGACTCCACGCTTCCTCAGATAAACAAAGCGACGCTAAGGGACGTAGTGTGAGGACCTACCTGGTGAGCTCCCAAATATTTTGAAGTTTATCACCATACTTCACTCCTCACTCTTTTTAGTATTAAGGCGAGAATGCGTACAGCTGGTACAATCATACAAGCATTTCAGGATACGATAGAAAATAATAATATTGCATTAAAAAATGTTAGAAAATACACTTATTGATCGCCTGAGGCATACAGTGTATCAAGGTTCGCAGACCTGCGTTACGTAGTCATGGCGTTGTGCGAATTGTGGCGAGGTAATACTCACAAGCATCACATACACTGTATTGATTACTATTGTTTCATATAAAATGTATACCTTTCTGTATGCCTTAAGTTTATCAAAAATGACCCTATTTATAATTTATTGAAAGAGGGTAATGAGTGCAGAAATATTTTCTCAAAGGTGTATTATGCAGTGAGGCATTACGTTTTTTTTGTGTACTGATGCAAGTGAAATTTGTTTTCATTCACTGGTTCATTTGACTTCTATCTTAAGCATAGATATAAGCTAACTATGCAGTTACATATATTTTTATACATTTGCAGAATTCTCTTTAAATTTAGTTGATTACCAGCTGCAATTGTTAGTTTTCATATTGCTATATTTTTTATAAAGGAAATTCAAATTATGAAGGATTACAAAGGATTTAAAATAGCAACAGACCATTTGATCTTGGTTGTTTCTTTATGGAAAACTTAGCCCTGCACTTGGGCTGGACTGTAGTGCGACGGTCTTGCTTTGTGCAGGTTGGTGTTCAATCCATGTTTGTCAAAGTGGTTGGGCACCATTCCTTCCCCCCTTTCCAATCAAATCCTTATCCTCATCCCTTCCAAGTGCTATATAGTTATAATGGCTTGGTGGTTTTCCCCCTGATAGGATCCTTTATGGAAAGCTTATGGTAAAAACTCCAATTTGTTGATTTGAAGATTAGAACTTGTTAATTTATTTGTAAATATATCCATGGTATTATAATGGAATAATACAATACAGTAAGCATTCCATGTCTTTACTATTTGATGAAAGGGGAAAAAAATTGTTTCATTAACTTAAAAAGTTTGAAAGGATAATAAAGCCATTGTTTTGTGATATTAGATAATGCCAAAATTAAATGTATTTTTGTGGGGGAGAAAAAGGGTCAAATATAATTAATATTACCCATAACATATGTTGGATATAGGCTTGTGAGGGCATGTTTCATTGTAATACAGAACTATGGGGAATACAGTATTATAATTATAATACTTGGATAAAAGTACTATAGTTCTATACAGTATAGTCATACTGGCTTAGTACATTACCCCCTGATTATCTTGCCTACTCAGTCAGTTCCCATTGCATCATCCTAATTAATGCTGCATTTAAATAGCTTGGACCTCTTGGGCCGTAGCCAAATAGTGTAGTACCCCATGGACTTGTATCAAAATAGCACAGCACCTCATGGGCCTTTATACAAATAGCACAACTCACCACATGACATTATCTCTTCAAATTAGACCAGAGAAAGTACTGTACATTTCCCAATGTTCTCCATTTTCCCAAAGTGAGCACAATATCACTACTGTACCATTAAATTAATAATATTGCTATAAAGAAAAAATTGTTGACTGGATTTTTGTCTCTGTTACAGAGCAGGTTGTGAGGAAAACACTAAGTGTAAAATGAGGACCTTAACTTATTCAACATTAGTCAAAAAACAAATATTGGTATTAGTCAAAGTGTCTGCATTTATTTGTTTATTGGTAAAAAAAATCATTTTGTTGAGGACAGGCAGCCTGTGTATTTGTACAAGTTAGGGTTGGTATATTGAGGTCCTCTCTCCCCAACCCCCAAAGAAAAATTACTGACCTTTCCCAGGATGCAACCCCACAACAGGCAGATGAACTCCTGGGAACACTTATTTACTGCTAGATGAACAGAGGCATTAGGTGATGGGAAATGTCCTTGGCTATTTCTCTCCCCACACTGAGATTCAAATCTTGAATTCCTGATTGTGAGTGTACTGTCTACTGGAATGCCTTTAGCTGGTAATTTTTGAGGCACAAAAGTACATATTCCATGTTATGAATAAACTTCATTGGCATAATGTTTTAAGTAGTAGTTCTGTACTAGATTATTCACAGTAGGTTGTATTATATAGTAATTTACATTTGGAGTGACTGTACAGTGGTGAGCTGCTCCATAATACTGTGAAACTCATACTTGTAATAGAAGTAAATTTATTAGTATTTCTGCCTATCTTGTAGTCAAACTACTTGTAGAAACATTCATAATGTATAGCCAGTCTATCAAGCTCATATATGAAGCTACGTAATAGTAAATACTGTAACATCAAAAAGTATCTTGGCATAAAGATGATTAAAAACTTACTTACCAACAAGCTAGATATAGATGACTACCATACCAGATTTAATCAGATGTCAGTGTATACAGTTAAGTATCAATAGTGGCACAATAGTGTATTTAATTAATCAATTGTGACAGAACAGTAGTTGCAACAGTAGTGATATGAATGTAAACATTTTAAGAAATGGTAGCATAGAACAATATTACTGTACATCACGTTACCATGAGCACAAAATGAATGGAGTTTGTATTTATTTATCTTGTCAGTATTAAGTAGCACACACAATTAGACTGCGGTTGGGGTGTCCCTTGGAGTAATCAACTCTAATGAGCTTAACCTTCAGTATCAGGGCTTTATTTATGTCTTTACTGAATGGATGAGTTCTCCATAATGTTGTTAAAAATATGCTTTATTTATTCAGGTTAATATTAATATGGCTTGAATAATATTGAATTACTGTCATTTGGCATAAGTAATTGATTGAAAATCGTATGGATCTATAGAATGTATAAAATGAAGTCGGGACTAATTTAATTTAAAGTGGACAAGCTTAGATTTAGGATAGCTATAGCAAATGATTGGAGTGGCATAATTTGACTACATTATTAAGGCTACTGTACATGACTTTTTCATCTATTCACATTTTTATAAGTAATATTAAACTGTTCAAAGTACAGTACAGTGCTGCATTTCCTAGTAATGCTTCTGTACTATAGTATTGTATTTGTCATTTAACACCATTAAATAAATTTGTGGTATTTACTTATTTTTAAATATTTATTTTCAGACAACTGTGTTTGACACCTTATAAACTTTATAATGGGGAGCACTGAGGAGATCACAAAACTTCATTCAGTGAAGAAAAAGCACGAACGTGATTCTGAAGAATCGGATTCAAAGTCGAATTCCAAAAATGCCTCTGGAACAACTAGTCCTGATCCATTGGAACATGGAATTGATGATGATCTTAAACCCCTCCAAGAAGGGGAAACAAAGTCAAGTGCGAGTGACACAGACAGTGAGAATGAAGGTGCTTGTAAATCCAGAGAGAAACCTCAAGCAGGATTAGATGTGCAAGGTGCTAGAAGTCGGGTCGACAGTGAGAGCTCGTCGGAAAATGGGAAGTCCCCAATCGCTGAACATAGCAAAAGGTAAGTGTGTTACTTTTATAAATGCATTTTCTATATTTCATATGTGGCATTTGCTATTGCTTAATTTAGAATTAAGACATTACTGTACTGTGTATAATTAATACCCAACACACGTGTGAAAAAAAAGTGATGACTTTTCAGTCCATCCTGGATCCTTATCAAGTTAAGTCCTACTACAGTATATATAATTGTAAGAAATTGGTCAAATCCACTGTTAGAGTATATATGCATAATGATGGTGCTCTTGTGATTTACTGCAAGTATACTGTTTGAGTTCTCTGTAGTTTTAACTTTTAGTGAATACGTTATTAGATACATACAGGCACTACAATTTGCTTTGTTTTGGAGAGTTAAAAAATATGCACGAGCAGATAATATATCACAATAACATGGCTGAAAATAAAGCATGTGACTGTTGTTTGTTCTGGACTATTACAAGTCTTGATAATGATCCAGGATGGACAGAAATGTTATCACTTCTATTTAAGATTTCTGGGTAGGACCTCTAAGATACGTACTTATTTTGAAGCTTATGTCTGAATTTTAAGCTTACACCGATTGAGAATGAATAGACAATGATTAGTGTGAATAAGTTTAGCTCATCATCTTGGACTCATTCTCAACAGTGTGTGTGGCTTACATATTCTTGTTTTCCAAGCTTTTACGTTATATTTATGTATTATTGTGCATTCCAAGAGTTAAGAACATTATTATGTTCTGAATTTGAGGTTGGAAAATGAAGAGTATTAAATACTTGTGAAAGTATCTTGTTGAGTAGGAATGGAAAAATGTAACTTGGAGGTTCTGTAACCTAGCTAGTTTGCCAGTACAGTATTCTGAACCTGTAGTTTGAATTGTATGGATTTTTTTTTTTGTTACAAAGACTCGCCTGTCATAATTTGAAAGGGAATGTTTGGTCGCCCCTTTAGGGATCCAGCTAATAACACCGGATCCCAGACACTGGGATCTGGCATTGTGTTGGTGACCTTGACTCTGGCTCATGTGGGTAGGCTAAATGATGCTTCTGGTGAGGATGCATTAAAGTCAGAGTTGTGCTGCTTTGTGTGTAGGGATGAACCTTCTGTGTTGGTACATCGGATGCTCACGCTTTTCGTTGAAGGTGATGCAGGTATTTGTTGGTTTCCACTTACACAAGTCAAGCATATCTGATTTGCCGGAGAAAGAGATTATCATTAGTATTTGTTATTATATTAAATAAAGAATAAATTATTGACCTTAGAGCATCTTAATTTTTTTTCTTTTATGAAGATGAAATAAGATTCTGTACTGCTACCTCTGACCTTGAGATGCTAGATGTCTAGAGAAATAGTTGAAGAGTATGGTAACACTGAGGACAGCTGTTTACTCAGAGCCCAGTTGGCTTACACAGTCAAGCAAGACCACCAACCAAAGTGTGGCTTGTCAGTCTCATTGCAAAAATGAAAACATTATTATTTTCAATTTTTTGTTGAAAGATACATTAATAACTACATTGATATATGTTGCACTAACATATGCTGTATAAAAAGGTTTGAATTTCTGGTTGTATGAACCAAATTGAATAATTTTCCATGGATATGCAAATAGTTTTTGTAAGAAATTCTAGGTTAATGGCAACAGGAAACCACAAACTGCATTTTTTTTTTTTTTTTTGGCTTTCCACCAGGTGTAATATTTTTGCTGTAAAAGTTATGTTGAACTGTATTTTCCATATCAACGGACCGATCTTCGCTCTCGGGCACGTGTCTTGAGTAACAAGTAGATTCACATTTTCTTTTCTAATTAGACCCATGTTTAGCTTCATTTAGTTTCCTTGCCAGCACCTGATGCCTGCCTTTGTCAGGGTCTAAGTAATAGACCCTGACAGTAACAGTGGGTTATTTGTTTTAAAAAATCAATAAAATCTTTGTCTCGAGATCTTGATCCTCGTAACGGCAGACAAAGGTGTGTGTTTATATACAGTACTTTGTTAAATTATAGTACCAAGTTAGTTTGTTCTGAAGTGGTTATAATTATTTTACAATTATAATTAATGTAGACCTTGTTTAATTGTCATAGGCAAAACATTTTTGGTTTGAACAATTTTTGTTTAAAATACTGTATAATGATATACTATATCATATACTTTAGTTTATATGTAGGCCAATTTTTTTTCCCCACCAAAGCCTGATATACAGTATTTTAATTTCTCTAAAGTAAAAAAAAAAAGTACTGTATAAATATTGACCTGACCAAACCATGCTGCTTGCTGTGCTTGGGGGTATTAGCTGTACAGTATTGAGTAATATTGCAAGTTCATGCTGCTTTAGTTTGAACTAGATGATGCATTGTTTAACATTGATTCCCAGATGTCTGGAGAAAGGTTATTCTCGGCTTGCTTGATATTTACCCGACAGTGACTCACGGGAGTCGCTATCCTCGTGTTCTTGTGTCAGGCTAGCGCACTGCCATTTTAAGATATATCTCGTATTTTGGGTTATTGTGTTGCTTTGGATTTATCCGTGATATTTATAAAATGTTTACTCACTGGGTGTAAAATAAATTTGAACTCTGCACTTTGTTGGTCATTGTTTACACTTAAAGTCGTATATGCATCTTGGCTTATAGTGCAGGAATTAATTGCATACAATTATTTATCTTAAAACATTTGTAATAAATAAGAACTTTTTAGAATGTTTATACTTGAAAGCTTTCTAATTTTGTTTAGTACTAGATACCCATTTTCTGGTGACACATTGGTTAAATGATTCATCTTTATTGGCTGTGCTGGTACTGCAATTAGGACAAAACATAAAATGCATCCTCCTGGCTAATGACATCAAAACATTGATAATGTTGATTCTTTATTGATTAAATGTTATTCTAGCATGGTTGGCTTGCTGTTTAGGCTCTTGAATAATACACGCCAAAAGCAACAGCTGTGTATATGCAAAGAATGTCACAATAATGTGGTTGAAAATTAATACCACGCACACATGTGAAAAAGAATTTGACGACTTCAGTCTATCCTAAATCAAGTAGTGCTCTATATAAATATAAACAGAATAGTTATAAGGACATTCATGATTATTGACCTGTGCTCAGTGTGTTATTGGTCAGAATTTATTGTATAGTGAATTCACATTAATTTTCAGTGCAAGTGATGTGTGTGTGTGGCATGGTGCCAAGATGGCACTGCAGGGTGTATATGAAGCAAGTGGGGGTAGAGAGATAAATGTGGAGCTATGTTTGGGTGGTGTTGGCTGGTCAGGAACAGCAATGTAAGGAAGTTTTTGGGTTTATAGTGGGTGGGGAGAATTTGTATATCTTGAGGATATATAGTATCAAGTTTCGAGATGGTTACTGTAGTAGTAACGGGCACATAACGCATGGAAAGATTATTTAGAATACCTGTCTTGTTCTGTAGAGGAAATATGAATTTGAAATACTGAATGTAAATCATATTCAGAAAGTTTATAAGGAATTATGTGCCTCAATCATCAATGTTATAGAAATATTATATAGGATGAATTGAGAAGCTTACAGACACTGGTCTTGTATTTTTTTTTTTTTTAAGTATTTTTTGGCTTTCTAATGGAGGAGGCAACTCCATAGGTCATTGCTCCCACGGTGTGTGTTTGGGTGTTGGCGGTCCGTGGGTGGCAGTCAAGTCACCGGTGCCTGGCTCCACCTTGTACAGAGCTGTTTTTTTCATAATCTTAAGATTGTTTTCTCATCTTGCATGTCTTTCTACAGTTTTGTCATAAGTTTTATTTCTTTGTGTTCTTTATTGTGCACAATGCTGTTTTTGCACAAAAAAATGATTGAAAATTATTTAGAAATGTTTCTACAAAAAATTACTAAATATTGTACAGTTTATAATCAGATTTATTAGTTATTTATGTATTGACATTTGTAGATAAATTTATAAATAGTTAATTTCCTAAGAATTTGTAATAGGGATATACAAATTAGCAGTCAGGGGCACGAATAATTTTCACACTCTATGGCAGATTACAAGACGAGAACCACTGGCTTGGGTCAGTGATTGCCAACTCTCGGGTTTTCTACATTATCGATGCTGGCATAAAAAGGTTTCAGAAGTTAATAAGTTTGTTCTGGTTTTATTTTTTTTAAAGTTGTGTGTTTCTCATCCTAATATTGTAGTTAGATGAGATTATGGCCTTTGTTTTTGTACAAGTACAATGCTGTCTTTAAGGGTTCTTGTATACTTAAGGACTTTATTTGTACACAGGCTTCTAGAGGCAGAAATATTCTGTTTGTTTTTATTTACAATCTATTTGATTATTAGTTATGCTAACTATTTTATGACCTGGGAATGCTGTTGGTTTTAGTTTGAAAAATTGATCAGATATTGTTATTTATATGCCTTAGGCATTCTTGTTGTTTCAAAATTAATACAATTTTGATATGTACATAGTGACTCTACAGTATTTAGTTTGTCTAGTTTGTTTTCTGTAGGGTTGTATTTTTTACTTAAATACACATATCTGATTAATGTTTCTCTTACTGACTGCTCTTACATAACATATCTTGTATCTGTTTTGTTGTGTTCTGTGCAGGAAATTGTGAAGTGTGTGTTTGTTATGGTTTGTCCTTAGTTTTCTTTGTACAGTACTCGGACATTGTGGGTACTGTATTAAGATGGTAGGTGGTAGTTTATTACATATGATGTTTGTGTAATGGACAAATAAAATGGCATTATTTTATATTGTATTTTAGGCATAATAGGAGAAACAGTACCTGCTGAAAATCTATTTGATTACTGCGTGGTTGTATGTGAAAATGAGATACAAAACTGGCAACTTTCTAATAGAAACAGAATTGTAAGTGGATGGAGAAATAAGTGATATAATATTGTAGGTGGGCTGATGATTCAAGACTTGAGGTGACATCCTGGAAATTGATGACTAGTAGGCTTTCCTACGAATATATGAAGATTTGGTAAAGGCAAAATCTTCCCCTCCTCCCCCCTCAGATGTGATATTCGTTCACAATATTGTACAATGAGAATTGATCTTTCCTAGAGCTGAATCATTAGACAAGTGAAATGTTTCCAAGCCTATGGGGAATTACCAACAAAAATGTAATGCCCAAGATGTTAATTCAAGATTCGGTTTCATTGTTTAATACTATTTATTAAAGTAAAGCTGAAAATTGGCAGCAGTTTGCTGTGACTACGGAGAAGTGAGATCTAGCACTTTTTCCTGCCTCCTAGCCATTCATACCTGGCATGCTTAATTACTCCTCGTAATATTAACATTATTCATCTTATTTCTTTTTTTTAAAGTTGTGGATGGAATTGGCTTTGACAATTCCTTCAGTGCATTCCACTTTCCTATCACCAATACAGGGAACAAGAACTTCCTTACTTCGACTCGATGAACTTAATGAATATGCACACACCGAGTCTTATTAGAATTTACCTAGTTTGACTAAATTATAACGTCCCCAGATATGTTAAAATTGGTTAGAGGTACCTAGAAAATTATTGAAATTTGAAGATAAGTGCAAAGTGGAGCTGACTTAGGAGAAAATGGCAAAGTGGAGCTACATGCAAAAGATTAAATTGTTTTAGCAGAGAAAGTTGGCCTTTTTCAAAATCCAACCAATTATGAGTCTTGTTCATGTATCTATTACTACTGACACTAGGATCCACCTTCCCAGTGATGGCCAAAGTCAAATTTTGAATCATAGATTCTCGGTTCTCGCACCATCCGAGACACATTGTCCATAGATGCTGAATGGATTTGGAAGAAGAAAAAAAGATGGGAGGAAATCGATTCCACACACGGTGAAGTTTGCGAGAGGATGCTGTAGCTCCCAGAGGCAATTCAAATAATCTGGAACAAAGTACGAGTCATGGAAGCAGTGCTTCCATGACTTCCATGACAATAAAAAAAATTTAAGCTACAGCTGTTTGTTAGGTTAAGGTTTGAAAATATTTATGAAAGCAGTAAATGATTAAAACTAAATACAATATATCTGGAAGAATGGATCTTGTGAAATTCATTTCTTTGGTCCAATTCATTGCCATAACGGCTAATTCTCAATACAGTATCGATACTGTATATAAAGTTTTACCATATATGGAAGAATTCTAATACAATTATATTAAATGTAAATTTAAAAAAGTATGTATAACTGTGTACGATTAAAGGTGGAACTGTACGTTTAAACGTGGGGAGAGTTATGTATGATTATTTGTGCTTAGCTCTACATTATAATTTTTCATAGCATCATAATATTAATATATTTAAATTATAATTAATATACTTTTGTATCTAGTTAAATATATAAGGGTAAGTACTTTTATATGAGACTGCTAATGAAGGTGTATGCCTTGCTTATTTACTTTTCCAATAATTAAGGAAAGCAAAATTTAATGATGGGAATTCTTGGTTGTGTGGTGCTATCATATTCTGTCTGGAAATGCAAGTTCAGGTAAGAATAATTGAAACACAGCAAGATCAAAAGAACATTGTATATCCGAGAAAATATTGACTGTTATACGATGGGACCGAACCCTCGCCATTAGACTCCAGTTGGTAGTACGTGTGTCTGGGGAGTCCAGGAATATGGGTACGATCCCATTGCATGGCCTCGATATTTTCTCACAGTACCGAGTTATGTATCTACTTTCCTAATGGCAGGATTTAAAGTTTTCTTATCGATTTGAGTTTGTGGATGTCTAAAACTGTTGTAGTAATTTTTTTAAATTATAGTTTTACATATTTTTTGAGTGGAATGGAAGAAAGATAATGAGGCAGTCATGTGGAAACCTGCTGTTTGCCTAACCTACTCTTCTCATTTTATTGCTTGACGAATACAATTTCTGGATTTATCAAGTCTCTATAGCCAACAAATGTTGAAAGTCATGGCATTTATGTTTGCTTCTGAAAAATCAGAAAACTTATATTTTCTGCTGTTGTTTAGTGCACAATTGTCACCTTGCATATAAATTTCAGTATATTCTATATACAGTACAGTAATCATATTGGCCTAGTTCTTTCTCTTCATAATTACTTTGTTTCCACCTTTCTTGTATATTCTGTATAGTTATGTTAGCTTATCTTAACACTTGTTCCTCATAACTGTTTCACTTTTCACCAGACAGCGGACTGTCAGTGACTCTTCTCCTGTCCACAACTTCATCTTCCCTGGAGTTGCAGCATCTCCGCCCAAATTTATGTCCCTTGAAGAGGTGATGAAAGCAGCCAAGGGTGTCAGCAATATGGTTCTTGCTCATGAGATTGCAGTGGATAAAAACTTCAAGTTGGAGAAGTTTGACCCCCCTGACAACAGTGTCGAGAAGCAGGTGAATTTTTTTTTTTTTTTTTTTTTTTGGGGGGGGGGGGGGAGGGTGGATGTTGACAGTGAGGCTGAAGGTAAATTATAAGAATATGAAGTGTTAGTTTGAAAGGAGTGTACAGATATTCTCTAAATCATAATTGTATGAATTTGTTTTTTAATGGAAAACTTAAACATACATTAAAGTGAGAAATTTCTACTGCACTTCAGATAAAAATTATTACAGTACAGTTTCATAATTTTGTTGCACAATACAATAATTTGAATTGGCCTTGAATACCGCAGGTACGGGATGTGATGCACAAAGCTTTCTGGGATCAGCTAGCAAGCCAGTTGCTGCAAGATCCTCCCTGCTATGACCAGGCTCTAGTTCTGCTGCAGGAGGTGCAAGAAAACTTGCTGGACATCACCCTTCCTCATCACACGCGCCTTCGACAAGAAATTTCGGATACCCTTGATGTGGAGCTCATTAAACAGCAGACAGAGCATGGGGTACTTGATTTTAGCCAGTAAGTACTGTCAAGCATATTGTTAAATATGACTTAGTCGTTCTTAAAAGTGCAGGTATTGCCATATATTGATCAGATAAATTGTAGGTTTTTGTTTACAAAAATAAATAAAATATAAATGGTCTTATGCAGATTGTATAAATTTGCCAAGGTACAGTATAAAAGTTAAGAAATTTTAATGCTAGAAAGGACAAAATACAGGATCCTAATACTGTAGGATGTACTAATCATGTAGTTTACATGTAAAAAGTGTGAGGAATGTCCAATTTTTTGTTTCAGATACTCGCAGTATGTGCTCTCCATTATGGCTCGTCTGTGTGCACCCGTCAGAGACGAGACCATACGAAACATGATGAGAGAAACTGACGTGGTATCGGTGTTCCGTGGTGTGATGGAGACCCTTGACCTGATGCGCCTTGATATGGCCAATTTCACTATTCAGCAAATCAGGCCTCATATTATAGCACAGGTAATAATTTTGTTACAAAATTTGCTTGCACTGTTTGAATATTGAAGAAATAAGTGTCTTTTATCTTCAGTCTTAGAAAAATTAAAACAAAAAAGCTAGTTAACTCTCTGGTGAAGCCCTTGTTTAACGTTGGTTAACGATTAGCACTTTTCTCTCAAATTTTTGTATGAAGTTGTAAAATTAAATTGGTTAGCCTTGAAAATATTAAGGAAATCAATTTAAGTTAATAGTTTACTGTATTTATATTTTCCTTCTCACTAATTGTGGTCTACATACCTTTAGTTTAATTAATTTTTAAGAATCCAAATCTATTTTGCATTATGTATGTTTCTTATGCTTTCTTTGTTATTTTCCTGGAGATAAGTGGAAACAATACCTCTAGATAGCTTGCTTTAAGGCATGTTCTTAATTTGTTATAACAATTTAAGACTTGAGACTTCCTTTCGTTCACCTGGTCTCTTGGAGACTCGAATCGTGTACCCCACACGTGTGAGGTCGACGCAGTATCGACCGAGCTATTGAGTAGTCTTCATAAGGAATGTTTCCAGAAGCAGCATCTTGCTGCCAAACTGGAATTTTATTTTACTTAAGACTCCTCCACTTGACCTTTCTCAAATGTTGTCTGTTAGCCTATCATTGTTAAGTTCGTTTTAGTCTTATAAACTTCTTAGAAGCCTATAATCAGTTCTTGCTAGAAGTCCAAACTGTTGTAAAAAGTATTTTTCCTGTGCTGATTCTCCAACCCCCACCTTGCAACCAAGGCCTTTTTGGCCATTTCGTATCTTACATACACTGTTCTACTACAAATTTCTCCCCCACATCTACACATCTTGGATAATTTGATAGGTGTTAACTTTTTTTTTTTTTTTTTTTTTTTTTTTTGCCCCCCCGTCTCATTGTAAGTTTCAATCTCTTTGGGTCAGTGTGGAACATGCGATCATCCCTGACATCCAAAGTAAAAAAAATTAATTTTTCATAATTGTTTGTAAGAATCCTATGAATCTTTTCATATCTCTTATTATTATTATGAGTTTGCCTCATATAAAACTTATTTGAAATACTTAGGCCCCCATTTAGACAATTTGGGACTATTATAATATTTTGAGCTGTAAAGGTTTCCTTCTATTCGGTTGAAAATAAGATAATTTTTCATTCTTAGGGAGATTAGCTTCTCGTTTAAATTCTTCAGCGTGTTCCGTAAAAAATCTCTATTATTATCCCAGTCCCACTTTCGTTGGAGTGTTAGGCACTTGTCCTGAGAAAATTAAGATTAGTTACAGTATTTAAGCTATTCCTTTTCCCCCCATCACATCCCAAATCCTTATCCTGACCCCTTCCTAGGACTATATACTGTAGTCGTAATGGCCCAGTGCTTTCTCCTGATTGTTCCCTTCCCTTCAGAGGCATATATAAATAATATCAACAGAATGGGTAAAATTTCCTAACCTGGTTGCTCTACTTGTATACTAGCTGCCACATGATTGTTGTGAAGAGGTTGTGTACGGAGCAGATAGCAAGATCCGAGGCGGTGCTGCTGCTAGATCCTTAACACATTACTGCTACCAAGTTTTCAGTGTGGCAAAAGGTACCATACCATTTAAAAAATACAAATAGAAAAATTTGATAAACTTGGTAAAGTTATAACAGCCATGAATCTTATTTTCCAGAGTGTAACCTATGAAAAGAATAAGTTTGCAGAATTCCTCAAGACACAGAATGATGGTTTAGAGCTGACACGAGAGTGGCTGTTGAGTCATGTGAGACCTGAAGACTTGACTGTGACGGAAGATATGGCAATGAGAAGTGTCGTGAGCTCTATCATTACTCGCTCGTATCTGGCACTTCTATCGTGGCCTGATGACAAATTATTGCCAGAGGTACAGGTTTGATTGTGAAGTTAGAAATTGTCGCATTTATCTTAATATCAAATAAAATAAATATCTTTGAATTTTATTATCTTAAACATTTTGTTAACATTTCTCTTATTAGCCTTAAAGTATATTTACATTTTTACTAAAGTAGTTTGGGAGCACATAGCTACTAATGAAGGAGTAATACATAATGTTAAGTGTAAATCATATTCCATAATTGATGTTCACAAATTTATGACATTGCTTGAATGCTTCCAACCCGTTCTCGCAAATTCGTAAAGTCAATATTGACTTATTAACTATGCATAGGTGCTTTAAAAGATTCATAGAAAACACCGACCTTACCTAACCTTGTTAGTATCTTAAGATAAGCATGGTTAGGTAATAATTGTAATTTCGAAGCAATAAGATCTTATAATAGTTCACTTTGCTCAAAAAATGTATTTGTTTGAATTAATTCTCAGTTTTCTGACATTGTTTAGAATTATTGTGCTGCAGTATTGGTGTACTTTGTACTGCATTGTTGTTTAATTTTACTGTACTGTATTACCTTGGTATGTACAGTATTTGATTTTCCATAATACTGCTTGTTTAAACTATATTTTTGTTAATTACTTGAAATATCTATAAACCAGTAAAACTTTTTAAAATACTAGAAAAGTATAATATATTTATTTATTTTATCAGACTGTAGTACTGGATGGAAGTAGAATACTTGAACTGAGAGATCGTCTAAGTCAAGTGTGCATCCTTGGCTCGGTGATTCTTGTCATCTTATCATCTGTGGGTCCCATGATCACCGTGCCCGACGCCTTCAAACTCAAGCTGAAGCGTAACCTGTGTATCATCCTGGACCCAGCATTATCCGACAAGTGAGTAGAGATGTGTTTTGTTTATTGTATCTTGCCCTTAGACGTGCACCGAGATGCATTACTTTGTTGTTTTTGGTTTCTTAATCAAGTGGGTCATTTCTTTTGCCATGCTTCTTGTTAAATTGTCTCGGAATTTGCAAGTTGTGGATGATGGGGATTGAAGTGACCTTTTACGCATGTATCATGAGTGAAGCATTTGCCTTGCTCTGTGCTTGCATAACTATAATTCAATATAGCCTTCCAGGCTTGGTACTTACTTTGATAATTAGCTACCTCCCTATTCCAAGTGTGTTTGTACTGTTTCAAGACTAACCAACTTCTTGCTTTTTAATATCCAATTTTGAGCTCATTTCTATTACTGCATTTTCTATTTTGTGAGCTCAAAAACACTTGAGTGTAATGTCAACTACCTTATGATTGATATTTTTGATAATAAACTTTAGTGTAACGGTGGAGGATGATGAAATTAATGGATGCCGGTGGCAAACATTATTGTATGAAACGGACAGACTGTGTTGGTATAATTTGGTGATTAGAATGTGTGGCTTTGTGTCGGGGGACAGGAAGGCAGTATGTATTCATACACGTTAGGCTTATATGGAGGCTGCCTCCCCCTTCCCAAAGTGGAATTACTGTACTGACCCCTTTCCCACGATGCAACCCCACAACAACCCGACTAACTCCTGAGTACCTACTTGCTGCTAGGTGAGCGGGTACATTAGGTGAAAGGAAATATGGCCAACCATTTCTAACCTGCCTGGGATTCAAAATGAAAGTGTCAGTGGGGTCATGTATTAGTGTGATGGTGAAGGTATCGGCAGATCGTGCTACAGTGTGATGGAGTGTCGGGGAAATCATACAATAATTTAAAGTAGCATCATCTGCCAAAGCAAGTTGGATGATGCCAAGAGAGTGAATCGTAGGCATTGCTGAATCAGTTGCACCCTCCAACCAAGGCCTTTTTTTTTTTTTTTTTTTTTATTATACCCCTTTAAATTTCCCTGATATTTCTGTTTGGTAGTTTATTTGAATGGTTTAGCTTGAAAATGGACTGCCAATACTGTATATATACAGTACTTATTCCTGTATAAATTTGGCTGTATAATTCATATAACACAAGTGTGATGGTGGATTGCACACCTCCACGTTGTGGAGATATTAAGGAGAAGGGGACCTTAATATAACCCTAACATTATTATATGCCTGTCCCCAAACAATGAATTACTGCTAATTTATTTTTCATTTTTTTTTTTTTTTTTTGTAGTAAGGTAGGCTGTTTCAGTATGCATTAAGGATTTGGTAAAAAAAAGCTATTCCTGTATGTCTGTTCTAAGAAATAAATTAGAAGAGTAAACTATTTAAATGCACAAGTCGTAAAGTCGTATATGAAAGAATTTTTTTTTTTTTAGTAATGGTGAAAATGAGGACCGTGGGGTCGTGGTTTCTTATTGGTAAAGATGGACAAGTTTGGTGGGATTAATACAATACTGTATTTATGTTCAAATAGAGATATTGGCATGAAAGGTGAGAACTTGTGGGTGTTGTAGTTAACACTTGTTTTCTGATGAAGCTAAAACTCATCATCCGTACTCTAGCAGTAAACATTCTGATGACGCTAAAAGGCGTCATCTGATTACTGTTCACAAATATTTTCATGTATTCATCACTGTGGCGCACATTCTATTATAAATACACATTGCGAGGAGGCCAGAATGTTTACGTTCAGGAAGGTGCGGATTTGACAGACTGCCAGTGTTAAAAGCATTAGCAGATAAATACATAAAATTTGGGAAACTATAGACTTCAGGGTCATTAGCATTGATTTCTAAAACCAAATTCAATTTCAAATATTAGGGTAATTTTGTTGAATTTATTGAGACTACCTAAGAGTTTTGTTGAACTCGGTTATGTTAGTGTGAAATTCTTTATACATCTTTGTTTGATATAATATTGTTGAAATCCTTGTTAATAAGTGTAGAAATTCATGTTCTCCATAGTAGTTTCTTAACCCGGAAGTACACTCGGGTTCATTCTTGACACAATCGAGAATTGGATTCGAATCCCAGACGGGACAGAAATGGTTGGGCACATTTCCATTTCCTTTCACCCAATGCCTCTGTTCACCAAGCAGTGAATAGGTACTCAGGAGTTAGTCAGCTTGTATCCTGGGCAGGGTCAGTAATTTGGCCTTTGGTGTGGGGAACCTCTATAAAAGCCAAATGTGTATGAATACACTCTGGCTTCCTGTCCCGACAATGAATTATTTATATTAGTGTTGGTTTTATTACAGATTAGTTTATAGTACAGTAGATTGCAATATCTCCCCTTTCTTATTAGGTCTTCAGTTGTGGATGGTCGTCTACCCAGGTATGTTAAAATATTTTAAGTTATTTCAGGATCTGGCAAAAAATAAGTCACAGTTATGCAGTACATGTGCCGACATGAGAATCTTGAAGCACAGCCTATCAATATTCATTCTGAATAATCATAGATATGTTTCTGCAATATAATATGTACAGTACAGTTTGATATACTGAACATGTTTATCACTGTGATGACCTCACTATATACAATAATGGTGGTGTATGGCATAATATATATTTTATTATAAAGAGTACCTAGTTAACTAAAATGACATAGCACTCGTTAAAAAAAAAATGGCATATCTTCATGGCCTGTCTTCTTCCTGCTCTTTAGTCTCGTCCCTTTCAAGTGCTATGTACTGTAGTCTTAAGTGGCTTAGCACTCTCCTGATAATTGATTTGAGGGCTGTGAAAGCGGTGCTGAAGCTTTACATAAAAATGGTAAGAATTAATATTAGTGGGCAGAAAGTCATAATGCAGATGTTGATAGACTGTGGCGGGTTTTGTTCAAAGAACATCTCTTTTTGGAAATGAACTGCAGAAATGTGACAAAAAGGCATGCGCGTTGTTCATAGTTAAATGTATTATTTTTTTAATTTTTTTTATTTGTTTTTTGAAAAATGCACAATAACTGAAAAATTGGTTATTAAAATAATGCACTGCTATAGTTCTTTGACTTGCTGTTTTTAATTTAATAAATTACATGAAATAGAATCAGTTACATGTTTTAATGCAGGTAAAGTATTGTACAATCTTTTCTCGAATTATAATTGTATCCAGCATGAAATCTACAAAAAAACATTGTTGAGACCTGGATCATCACAACTTAAAACAGTTTCTTAATGTTCATGTGTAAGATGACATGATGATTTAACATTTTCAGAGAGACAATGGCAGTGATGGACAATATAGCCGAGCAGGTCGTTAAGGAAGTTGATGACCATTTTGCAGAGCATGAAAAGCCACCATTGCCAGCATCAGCAAAGACTGCTCTGAAATCACAAATCCTCGAGATAAAGAGTCCAGACCATCGCATAAGATCATTGATAAGTAAGTCCAAATATGGAAGCATTAAGCAAATTTGGTATATTCATTGGGTTATTAAAATTTATAGATATTTCAAATAAAATGTTAAACTGTGTCTTCAAAAATCTAGCCCCCCCTTCCCCCAAATATGAATATACAGGTAGTATCATTGCATTAATCTCCAAAATTCAGATTGTTTGAAAAGGCACATTATGAAAATAATGGGGTTGGGTAGATTTTTGTTTTTTAACATTTGTTTTGGAAACCCTAATCCTCAAGTCTGTATATGTTTTCTGAGACCTGTCTAAATGTTGTATTTGAATACTATTTGGGAAACTTTTTTTTTTTAATTTTCTTTAAACAATTTTTTTGTTTTTTTTTTTGTTTTTTTTTTATATATACTCTTCCCCCCCCCCCCTCTTTTTTTTTTTGTACACTATGATTACCAGCATAAAAAAAAGTAGGTCGCAATGTCCATGTTGGTCAAGTGGGTTAGGTTCATACATACAAGTACCCATTATGTTGTGGCAAATCCAAATCCAGAGAGCACTGCTTAAAACCTGGTGCATCTTCCTAAAGCTTGACTGGACCACAGTATTTCAGTACTGTACATTAAACATAGGATTTTTGTTTTAAAGAATAACATTTTATATTTTTTGTTTTCTCTCCTTCCTAACTTCATTTTTTCTCCACAGAGAAGAGATCAATGGAGTTCATTGGAATTCTGATGAGTTCAACTACGGCTCGGCCAGTCCAGATACCGCCTGGTCTTTCAATCCTGCAGGAAGAGTTGGCTCATATCTGTGGAACGCTGCTTCGCCTCGTCACACACAACAGATCTGTATTTGGCGAGTATTATGCTGATATAATAGCGAACCATATGAAGGTTCATAGGGAACAGTTAGAAGGTGAAGAGGAGAAGAAAGTTGTAAAGGAAGAAAGTAGTACTGAAAGTAATAATTAAAAAGGTTCTATGATTGGAATGATACAATTTATTCCAAGTAAACTTCTCTTAGTGCTTATTACTGGGGAAGTATGGTAGCAGTGTTAACACTGAAATGTTATTGTTGCTGCAAAGTTGGTTCATGTGTAAATAAAACTTGCATGCAGAATAAGTGCAATAGATGAACTTTAAAAAAAAAAAAAAAAAATACACTAGGTGAAATAAAAATCGGCTGGGTTATCACAAATCCTGGCTGATACCATTGGCATACTTTGTGATAACAGTATTTGTATGTATATGCATAAAAAAAGCCTTTTGGGCTATAATTGATTGCTGATGTACAAGATAGAATGAATATGCTGTAGTGGAGTTAAACACATTTGGCAGTAAACATCATAGATGTTTCAAAGGGTGTGTTCTCCAAGCATTCATTGACAACCCTGTGATGAATAATATTTATTCCAGTGCAGAATTGTCATAACTCCTATATTACGTTTCTATTAAATATTTAACATTTTATCGAGCTATTCTTTAATGTTTTTGAACTGGATGATGATTTAGTTGGGCCTGGTATACAAGTGGCAAGTTGCTATTACTCAATTATGTTACACACGTGAAAATATATTTGACAATGAGAAATTGTTATGGGGGTTTAGCCATGTCTTGTAAGATGAGAAATATAAGATGCAACATGGCTTTAATTTGTATACACGGGAAAATGTAATGTCTAACCCTTAACTGTTGCCCTCGAGCATTGGGGTGTGTGTGTGTGCGCGCGTGCGGTTTTGCAACAGTTCATCAAAGGGCTTGTAGGAGACTAGACATTGTTATATTGACATGTTCCACAATTCTATGTGGGTGTCTCTAGAGAACTGTTGTATTCGTTTGCCATATCAGCAATTTTTTTTTTTTTTTTTTTTTTTTTTTTTTTTTTTTTTTAAGGGAACACAATACTGTATCATGCATTTATTGCTGCTTATGTTATGACCCATTGAATGCCATGCAAAATTTCAAGGACCTGGCACAGCTTAGTGAAGAGGTGGAATCTAGTATAAATAGTTGAAAATTTTCCCTTATCACCATTTCTGCCACACTGGCCAAACTGAAATGAACAGAATTTTCTTTTCCTCAACATTAGTATGCAATGTCTTACGATAATTTTTTTCACTAGGCAATCTGTCTACCATACTTTTAGGAGTGCAGTTGGGGGATTGAGGTCAAACTTATCCATTATTTATTTTATATAGATGGCCCATAAGTATACAGGTGTTGGAACTTGACACTGACGTGTGTAGTAATTTTAATTTGCAGGGCAAATAGGATGCATTAGTTAGTAAAAAAATTTATGAAGTGGAAAGGATATTATCACTAACACTAGACAATACATACCTTAATGTAATGCCTTACTATATATATAGTAGCATTATAATTTATTAGTGCAATACAGTATGACAAAAAAGGTTTTGGAATGTAATGAATCACTTATTGGTTTTGTTATAGCCAGTTAAAATAATAGTTTTGTTTATATTGATATAAAGTACTATAAATGGAGAAAGACAATTGTATTGATTAAAACATGGTTGGCTGTATTAAATATATTTTCAAATATTTTATGGAGCATAAGTCAGGCTTAAAATCCATTAATGTAGAAACTAGGAATCTACTAAACGAAAGTGCAATAAATTATAACTTTTCCTCATGTACTGCAGTTATTTCCAAAACTACACAATAAAATATAACTTTTCCTCATGTACTGCAGTTATTTCCAAAACTACACAATACTTGTGTGTATGACCAGTGTACAGAATAAAAATCGGTCTAAATCAGTATAAGAAGTTATGTAAATGTTGTCGGTCCAGGACGGACCGAAACGTCGTCATCCCTTCAACTTCTAGTGTGTGGTCTGGTCAACTTATGTAAATGTTCATTAGTTATTACTTTAGTTAAGAGTGGTCATGTGCAAATTAGTTGGAAGTAGGGGGGGTGATTAACTGTACTTAAGGTATAGTTTAACTGTACCTTAAGTACAGGCAAAACGGCAAAACTGATGCTGCTTACATGCAAATAGTATCCAAGGTTCTTAAATACTAATCGGATAAATAGGCTGTAAAGGTTGGGGGGGGGGGCCTTCTTTAATATTAAAGTAAATTGAGTCCATTGTCCATATGGTATTGATAGAAGTTACTTGTTTCTTTTCCTCTTTTGGGTGAGTGGGCACATATTTGATTCACCTATTACAACTCTAGGAAAAGTACATGCCACAACAATAATCAATGTTGATCCTACATCAATTAAATATTACCAGGGTACATTTTGGCAACTGGATAGCAATATTATCAATGTCATTGAATTAGCTACTTGTATAATAAAATTTAATACTATAAGATGACTAACCCACACATCACAAGGAGACAGACGTTTGGTCTGCCCTGGATCATTATAAAGTTGTGTGACTTCATCATGGCCCAAAATGTCATCTGTTCTGGCTGACAAAATAATGACTAAACCACACAATTATTGTGACTTTAATGCTATAATTAATATTGCACAGGCACTTATCATACTCAAGAAGTAAAATTTGGAAGTAGTTTTCTTCAATGTTATCATAGTAAACTTGAAATATTAGCAGTTAGAATGATCGACACATACAATATACCATGATTGGATGGGGGCAACTGCTTCCCCTGTAACGAAAAGTGGATATGGTTACTGGTGGAATATTTATGGTTTTCAAAAGGTTCATCTCTTACTAACATATGACCTAGTCAGCAAATGGTCTATGGAAATTATCTACAGTGTACTCTGGTCTACATAGGTTATTAATATTAAGCACCTTGTGTGTTTTGTAATATAGTAAAGTATAACAACCATATTGTGCATGTTTATATTGAAACATTACAAGGACATTTTCAATATCTAGTACTAACGTACAGTACAAGATTGCATCACTTTGCAACATTTTATTTTTCATTATGTATGCTTTAGTAATGCAGAGGAAAAACTGTTTAAGCAGCAAGGTAATGGTCAGGTCATTCCAGGGGGAAATAACATATACACACACTGCAGTACTATTGTGACAACCAAACAATGCATTTATTAAATTTGTTTATTTTGTAAATGGGCTACAGACTGATTAAGACTTGGCTATCTATATTCTCATTATGTAATCCAAATTAAATACAAACTGCACATTGAATATAATCCAGTTCCCATTTTGAGCAGACAGCCCTCAAATTTGCAAGCGTAAGCCATTTGTATGTTTGGTCTACCATAAAAGCTGTTAGTTCTTCCATTCCAAAGTTATGTCAACTGAGGAATGTTTACTAAAATGAACATTCATTATACTGTACTAGTTTACTTAATTCTTGTGATGAACTAATTTTTGCTTAAAGGAAAATACTATAATATCTGAAAGGATAATTAGGCATTATGTTAACTGGGTATAGACATGTAGTATAATATTGTATAGTATTTTTATAATAATTGTATTTGTATCCATGTGATGGATGGTATATTTTATGGCCAGCCGAGCTCCTTGCATCATTATAACCATAAATGTTAGTGCTGCAGGAGACTTCTTGAGTCTTTCATTGGTAACAATTGCCATGTAGAGATAAGACTAATCCCAAACATTTGTACAGCGTATGATGCATGTACAGTATTCACCAGGCCTATGGTTATACCAGTGGCAATCTCCTCCCTTATTATTATTATTATTGGGTACAATTCTTGGCCGAGGTCTCTTGACCCACTATTTTAGAAGTGTGTATCTGTATAATAATGCTAGTGATTTTACCAAGAGTAAAACCACAGTACCAGTGCATGATGATGTGACACATTCTACTGTAAGAATGTCTTAATATTCTCTCTAATCAGGAGTGCCAGTTATATTTGGCATATGTTGATGCTTTATCATGTACTGCATACTTCTCATATTTCACTAATACTTGACTTCACAGAAGGCAGCAATTTGATGATGCATTAAGTTAACTATATACAAGCACACTAATATATCCTAGTCAGTGTTGTATGTCGAATGATTTCCAGTTAACAGAGACTAGCACGAAGGTCTCGCACAGGGAATGTGAAAATGTGTGCGCTTGTTAACACTACACTGTATAATGACTGTTGGACCCAGCCTTCAAATTTACTTGTCAACAGCATGGCACATCTTTTAATAATGCAATTACTTCATGGCATATATAGCCAAGGTTATTTTGCTTACATCTAATTAGGTAGAGCAAATCTCGGTCCAAGATTTGATTAAACAATGTTCTGGTATATGTATTGTGTTATGCATTTTATGTAGCTCTAGAAGCCAGATATTTTAAAGCAATGTCATTTTAAAACTAGCCAAAGATTGTTTTTAATTATGATCTATTTAAGGCACTAACAAATTAGATGCAAATATATTTTTATTAACACTATGGAGTAGGACAGTTTTTTTAAGCTCTTGATATGACCATTACTAGTCAGTGACACTGAAATTTGTGTGTTTTAGCATACCTATAATTGTAGTATAGAGTAAATATGATCTTATTTTTGGTACTGTACTACAACACTGACTTGTAAAGTAGTAATACATGTTTTATGGAGTAACAGTCTTGTAGATTTAGTGTACACTATGTAGTAGTGAAGCACATTACGAAAAAAAGCATGTAATTTGAGTACTGTGGATCCCCGTCTTATCTTAAAATTTAAAGGCAAAGTAACTAGTAATCTCGCTTAATGTATTGTCTGATGGGTTAAGCGCATAGGCATAAAAACAACTTTTGGTTATAGCAATCCCATGTCCTGTGATAGATATACACTAGTGTGTGTATATCACGAAAATAAACACGTGATTAAGAATGTGACAATGTCAGACCACGGAGGAAAATGAAACGGGAATTTCCTTAAGTACTTTCGTATATTAAATACATCTTCAGAAGGAATGATTAAGACTTCTGAAGATGTATTTAATATACGAAAGTACTTAAGGAAATTCCTGTTTCATTTTCCTCCGTGGTCTGACATTGTCATATACACTAGTGAATGTCTCTGGAGCACATTTTGTTATTAAGCCAGAGGAGTGTTTACAGCTTAAAAAAATATCTACTCGCCTTAATTTTAACCAATAATAAACCACTATTTCCTTGTATATCTTTGGTGCATTGTTAAAAAAAATAAATCCAGCTCTACTATTGATTATCATGCTGCCTTGTGTGTAGATAATTAAAATCTACATTTTACATTTGTCTTGCCTCAATGCTTTAGAATTATCAAAGTTGCCTAGTCAACTGGTACTGTAAGGTGTGGATTGTACATCATCATAATCTTTTTAACTAAGTTTAACCCTTTACATTTTTGTTTGTTAAACTAAATATTAATTTGTTATCTTTATATAAATATATATAGTAATATTTTGGGTACTTTGATATTTTGTAATTTACAGCAAAACACTGATAGTATATAATTAACCAATACTATACAACGAAATATATTTGTAATCGCTTTAGTGTTCTTATTAAATTTTGTCATCGAATATTTCTTCTCTGGTAATAATGGTATACTAATTACAAAGATGTAGCAAGAGTATTAAGTAAATGCAGTACACTGTATATAAAATGTGCATATATCTATATTATTGGCTTGTTCCTGGCAAGCATACATCTTTGAAATAAAAAAAAGTTATGTTTATACTATGCTTTTCACTTACCCTTTGTTCTGTTCCTCCCAAAAATATATATATATATATTGTATATATATATTATTAAATATGACCGAAAAAGTAAGATTAATAATTCTAACAAGAATTTTCTCAATCTTTCGTACATTTCTTTTCATTGTTGGAGGTAATTCAAAAATCAATTCTCCAAAATTCATTTTTATTTCTAGTCTGACGCGACACGAGCGCGTTTCGTAAAACTTATTACATTTTCAAAGACTTTAGTTTACAAATACACAACTGAATAGAACTTGAACATCTCCGATTTTGTTTATATCTACATTTGAGTGAGGTGGCATTAATAGGGTATTAATTTCATCAACACAAGACAGAACATGAAACGATGGGTATTGAATAGAAGTGTTTGTAGAAAGCCTATTGGTCCATATTTCTTGATGCTTCTATATTGGAGCGGAGTCTTGAGGTGGGTAGAATATAGTTGTGCATTAATTGGCTGTTGATTAATTGGATTGTTGAGTGCAATATATTGCAATATATATATATATTTATATATACAGTGGTACCTCGCATAACAAATTTAATCCGTTCCATGTTCGTCATGTGAAACGGACGTCATGTAACACTGTAAAAGTGTTTGGGTTAGGTTATTTAAAATATATATAGAGTACATGAGTCACAGACAAGGATCTGAGAGGCGCCAGTCGTCTGCCTGAGATCTCACACCTCAAAGCGTTAATGACCTCAAGTGACCTGAGGTCAGATCATGAGAATTTCACCTTGCTTCCGCTAAGCTCTTAATTGTAGTCTGGTAGCCTTCAAACAAGCCGACGTTTAAGGAGTGGCTTGGTAGTGCCGGAGGCTATCTATTTGTGGGCGGAGTTAGCTACTAGGTTCCCCAATATAAACTCGGAGAGCTATCCAGAAAGGAGCATTAATCAAGAGAACAGCAGACGAGCAGAGCAGGGAGGCTGTCGGCCGGCAGGGCGGGAGTCTCTGTCAACTACAGACCCCCCCCCCTCTCTATTCAACTTAGACTCAGTCCTCGGTGAGTGAACATTAAGGTGACTTGGTCGTGTTTACATATGTTGTGTGATGATCAGGGGCAGTCAAGTTGTAGGGTTCTCGAATTCTTGGATGATGACTCACTTTGCATATTAAACTGGAACATTTTAATTGAATTGCTAAATTATGATACTTCATGTGAAATATAATTATGAATTTATTATTTAAATTGTGTTTAACTTTGCTCCCTAGAGCTTTGAGTTGAGGATTTGAGAAAGCCTCTGTGGTTACTGGGTTCATGATATAAATGAGTACATGTTTGGAGTTGATACATGGTACAGAGGGAACATACTAATAATGAACTCATGATAACATCCTTTGAGAATTTTGTGATACAGGCAAGTTCCATTCCTTGTCTTGTATGTAATGATCATGAATGGATGGTGGCAGCATTTCGTCTTCTACTATCTACTTTCTACAACTTCTATCTACTCTTCTACTTCTACCTATCTACACCTCTCCCTCCACCCATCTCTAAACTCTCACTTTCAACTAATGACCCTCCTCGCTCCTCCCACCTCCCTACCTCTTACCCCAAACCCTCACTAATTACTTCACTATTCATTTCTTTCCTTTCGTTTCCTCTTATACGTTTGTGGCAATGATTCTGTATTCTAGAGTTCTCTCTAGAGTTTCGGGTAGCTGATCCAGTTACGGCTCCTTGTAGTCTTAGCACCTAGGTAGTCAAATACCTAGGTTACAAGGTGTTGAACGAGAGAGGTTGCCTTAGGAACTCTGGAGGGTGCTCTAGAATAGTTAGCTAACTGGGGACGGGATAACGGACTAGAGAGAGCTGTTTCCCCCGGCCTCGTTAGTTAACTGGGGGGTGGAATAATGGACAAGATAGAGCTATTTCCCCCACCCCCCGTTACAATGATGGCAGCGGTGTTGAACAATGTTTAAGGTATTGGTGTTCTTTTAACATTGTTCAGTCCCACGTGTCTTTTTGCCGCTCAGGCGCTATCAGGGAGATCTTGACAGGTGTTTAATATTCGCGAGTTAGCGAACTTTTTTCAGGTTAGGAGATAGTGATTCTCTGGTGTTGTGTTTAGTGATTTTGTGAGTTTTGTGGTGTTCAGGGAATGTTCACCAGAACTTGCGTGTGTAGTGATTTATGTTAGTAATAAGATTTGGCGATTTGGGAACTTAGCGGTGTTGGTAGTGCAGGTCAGCTGAGTGTGACAGGTGACCTCGCATGTCCCACGGGGACACCCAGCCACCGCTGGTCTCCAGGTCAGTGGGGAGTGGCAGGTGTAGTTCTTAAGTAGTTTAAGTGTGGTTCTGCTCAGATTATTGCGATCGACTGTTTTACTCCATTTGAACGCAATAACCCGAGGTGTACTGGTATTGTACAGCATGCTAGTGTGGACTAGTGTGTCAGTAGACTTCACGTTGGGGACGCTCGACGTTAGATAGTCTGGTCACAGGGGTGACAACAGTTTGGGAGTTGTTTACCGGCGGAGAAGCTAGGGAAACACTCTGGGTCACGTAGGTGGCTGTAGGTTAAGGGTGGGAGTAACGGTTAATTATGTACTTAAGATTAGGAACGGTACAGTTAAGTTTAGGCTAGTGTTTTGTCTATTAGTGTTGATTTTTTTTTGTGTGACAGGTTAAAAGTAGTGATGACCTTATTCTCTCTTCTCTAACTCTTTACTCTGTCTTCTTTCTTCTCTCTTCCTCCTCCCATGGGTCTTTGACAAGCGACCTGGGGTCCATTGGGGTCTGTCCGTCCTGGGGTCCATCCTGGGTAGACCGATGTTGGTGGGACAGACTGGAGTCGTTGTTGCTCCTCTTCCGTCTTTACTGGGTCGTCTGGGGTCGTCTGCAGAACGACCTGGGGTCCACTGGGGTCCGTCCGTCTTTGGGTCCACTGGGGTCCGTCCGTCTTGGGGTCCACTGGGTAGACCAATGTTGACCGACCGAGAGGGCTGCATCTTGGGGTCCCCTGGGGTGGTGGTGGTGGTGGTGGCCCTGACATCCAGGTAGGGGCTGGTCGTCGTGGTGGTGAGGAACAGCCGTGAGTGTGGTATAAGGCAGCCGTCTCCCTCTTCTGTATGTGCGTCTCTCCTCTCTTCTGGCTCCCACCTGTGAAATGAACAGAAAGGCGACAATACGTGTTCCCAAGATGTTTGTGTGACCCTGTCGTTTGTATAGGGTTACACAGTCCTATCATACCGCTCTCCTCCTGGCAACAACTACACTTCAATTTTTAATAATTCAATTAACTCTGAATGATATTGACTTGGTGGAACATAAAACAGTAACAGAGTAAAGTTAGAGAAGAGAGAATAAGGTCATCACTACTTTTAACTTGTCACAAAAAAAAATCAACACTAATAGACAAAACACTAGCCTGAACTTAACTGTACCGTTCCTAATCTTAAGTACATAATTAACCGTTACTCCCACCCTTAACCTACAGCCACCTACGTGACCCAGAGTGTTTCCCTAGCTTCTCCGCCGGTAAACAACTCCCAAACTGTTGTCACCCCTGTGACCAGACTATCTAACGTCGAGCGTCCCCAACGTGAAGTCTACTGACACACTAGTCCACACTAGCATGCTGTACAATACCAGTACACCTCGGGTTATTGCGTTCAAATGGAGTAAAACAGTCGATCGCAATAATCTGAGCAGAACCACACTTAAACTACTTAAGAACTACACCTGCCACTCCCCACTGACCTGGAGACCAGCGGTGGCTGGGTGTCCCCGTGGGACATGCGAGGTCACCTGTCACACTCAGCTGACCTGCACTACCAACACCGCTAAGTTCCCAAATCGCCAAATCTTATTACTAACATAAATCACTACACACGCAAGTTCTGGTGAACATTCCCTGAACACCACAAAACTCACAAAATCACTAAACACAACACCAGAGAATCACTATCTCCTAACCTGAAAAAAGTTCGCTAACTCGCGAATATTAAACACCTGTCAAGATCTCCCTGATAGCGCCTGAGCGGCAAAAAGACACGTGGGACTGAACAATGTTAAAAGAACACCAATACCTTAAACATTGTTCAACACCGCTGCCATCATTGTAACGGGGGGTGGGGGAAATAGCTCTATCTTGTCCATTATTCCACCCCCCAGTTAACTAACGAGGCCGGGGGAAACAGCTCTCTCTAGTCCGTTATCCCGTCCCCAGTTAGCTAACTATTCTAGAGCACCCTCCAGAGTTCCTAAGGCAACCTCTCTCGTTCAACACCTTGTAACCTAGGTATTTGACTACCTAGGTGCTAAGACTACAAGGAGCCGTAACTGGATCAGCTACCCGAAACTCTAGAGAGAACTCTAGAATACAGAATCATTGCCACAAACGTATAAGAGGAAACGAAAGGAAAGAAATGAATAGTGAAGTAATTAGTGAGGGTTTGGGGTAAGAGGTAGGGAGGTGGGAGGAGCGAGGAGGGTCATTAGTTGAAAGTGAGAGTTTAGAGATGGGTGGAGGGAGAGGTGTAGATAGGTAGAAGTAGAAGAGTAGATAGAAGTTGTAGAAAGTAGATAGTAGAAGACGAAATGCTGCCACCATCCATTCATGATCATTACATACAAGACAAGGAATGGAACTTGCCTGTATCACAAAATTCTCAAAGGATGTTATCATGAGTTCATTATTAGTATGTTCCCTCTGTACCATGTATCAACTCCAAACATGTACTCATTTATATCATGAACCCAGTAACCACAGAGGCTTTCTCAAATCCTCAACTCAAAGCTCTAGGGAGCAAAGTTAAACACAATTTAAATAATAAATTCATAATTATATTTCACATGAAGTATCATAATTTAGCAATTCAATTAAAATGTTCCAGTTTAATATGCAAAGTGAGTCATCATCCAAGAATTCGAGAACCCTACAACTTGACTGCCCCTGATCATCACACAACATATGTAAACACGACCAAGTCACCTTAATGTTCACTCACCGAGGACTGAGTCTAA